TTCCAGAGCTGAGATATCGAAACTCAAAAATTCGACCCGAAAAAAAAACGACAGTGGTACCCCTTACGTTTTTTTTTTTGGGGGCGAAAAATAAGTTTCTCCAATCTTCTCAAAACTCTGGATTCTGATAGAGGGCCATGAGACTTAACCTGAGTGCAAAAATGGAGGCTCTAGACCCTTCCAGAGCTGAGATATCGAAACTCAAAAATTCGACCCGAAAAAAAAACGACAGTGGTACCCCTTACGTTTTTTTTTTTGGGGCGAAAAATGAAGTGTCTCCAATCTTCTCAAAATTCTGGATTCTGATAGAGGACCATGAGACTTAAACCTGAGTGCAAAAATGGAGGCTCTAGACCCTTCCAGAGCTGAGATATCGAAACTCAAAAATTCGACCCGAAAAAAAAACGACAGTGGTACCCCTTACGTTTTTTTTGGGGCGAAAAATTAAGTGTCTCCAATCTTCTCAAAACTCTGGATTCTGATAGAGGGCCATGAGACTTAAACCTGAGTGCAAAAATGGAGGCTCTAGACCCTTCCAGAGCTGAGATATCGAAACAAAAAATTCGACCCGAAAAAAAACGACAGTGGTACCCCTTACGTTTTTTTTTTTGGGCGAAAAATTAAGTTTCTCCAATCTTCTCAAAACTCTGGATTCTGATAGAGGGCCATGAGACTTAAACCTGAGTGCAAAAATGGAGGCTCTAGACCCTTCCAGAGCTGAGATATCGAAACTCAAAAATTCGACCCGAAAAAAAAACGACAGTGGTACCCCTTACGTTTTTTTTTGGGCGAAAAAAAGTTTCTCCAATCTTCTCAAAACTCTGGATTCTGATAGAGGGCCATGAGACTTAAACCTGAGTGCAAAAATGGAGGCTCTAGACCTTCCAGAGCTGAGATATCGAAACTCAAAAATTCGACCGAAAAAAAAACGACAGTGGTACCCCTTTCGTTTTTTTTTCGGGCGAAAAATTAAGTTTCTCCAATCTTCTCAAAACTCTGGATTCTGATAGAGGGCCATGAGACTTAAACCTGAGTGCAAAAATGGAGGCTCTAGACCCTCCAGAGCTGAGATATCGAATCTCAAAAATTTCGACCCGAAAAAAAAAACGACAGTGGTACCCCTTTCGTTTTTTTTTCGGGCGAAAAATTAAGTTTCTCCAATCTTCTCAAAACTCTGGATTCTGATAGAGGGCCATGAGACTTAACCTGAGTGCAAAAATGGAGGCTCTAGACCCTTCCAGAGCTGAGATATCGAAACTCAAAAATTCGACCCGAAAAAAAAAACGACAGTGGTACCCCTTCGTTTTTTTTTTTTCGGGCGAAAAATTAAGTTTCTCCAATCTTCTCAAAACTCTGGATTCTGATAGAGGGCCATGAGACTTAAACCTGAGTGCAAAAATGGAGGCTCTAGACCCTTCCAGAGCTGAGATATCGAAACTCAAAATTTCGACCCGAAAAAAAAAACGACAGTGGTACCCCTTACGTTTTTTTTTTTCGGGCGAAAAATTAAGTTTCTCCAATCTTCTCAAAACTCTGGATTCTGATAGAGGGCCATGAGACTTAAAGCTGAGTGCAAAAATGGAGGCTCTAGACCCTTCCAGAGCTGAGATATCGAAACTCAAAAATTCGACCCCAAAAAAAAACGACAGTGGTACCCCTTACGTTTTTTTTTTTGGGGGGCGAAAAATTAAGTTTCTCCAATCTTTTCAAAACTCTGGATTCTGATAGAGGGCCATGAGACTTAAACCTGAGTGCAAAAATGGAGGCTCTAGACCCTTCCAGAGCTGAGATATCGAATCTCAAAAATTCGACCCGAAAAAAAAACGACAGTGGTACCCCTTTCGTTTTTTTTTCGGGCGAAAAATTAAGTTTCTCCAATCTTCTCAAAACTCTGGATTCTGATAGAGGGCCATGAGACTTAAACCTGAGTGCAAAAATGGAGGCTCTAGACCCTTCCAGAGCTGAGATATCGAAACTCAAAAGTTCGACCCAAAAAAAAAACGACAGTGGTACCCCTTACGGGTTTTTTTGGGGGCGAAAAATGAAGTGTCTCCAATCTTCTCAAAACTCTGGATTCTGATAGAGGGCCATGAGACTTAAACCTGAGTGCAAAAATGGAGGCTCTAGACCTTTCCAGAGCTGAGATATCGAAACTCAAAAATTCGACCCGAAAAAAAAACGACAGTGGTACCCCTTTCGTTTTTTTTTTCGGGCGAAAAATTAAGTTTCTCCAATCTTCTCAAAACTCTGGATTCTGATAGAGGGCCATGAGATTTAAACCTGGGTGCAAAAATGGAGGCTCTAGACCCTTCCAGAGCTGAGATATCGAAACTCAAAAATTCGACCCGAAAAAAAAAAAACGACAGTGGTACCCCTTTCGGTTTTTTTTCGGGCGAAAAATTAAAGGATGGGCAAAAAAAATCAGGGATGGGCAACTGGCGGCCTACGGGCCACATGTGGCCCGCCTCCTCACTCAGTGCGGCCCGCGGGTCAATTTTCAAATACCATAGAAATGTTGGTTTCATATATTTTATCGCGTGAAAACCGGTTGCGCATCTGAACCAATTCCAAATGTAATGATAAAGTATACCGATAGAGGGCGCCTTCATGCAAAACATGCTTAGTTGGACGACTCTGACCAGCGTCACTACAGTCAACGATGAAGAGAACCATGAGCGGGAAAAAAAGAAAACTGAACCAAGAAAATCGCACTTTTCAGACGAGATGGGAAACAGACTACCTATTTACAGAATTCAAAGGGAAATGAAATATATCAAGTCGAAAGAGAGAAACAGGATCAGCGATGACGTTCTGTTTCAGCTCATGAGGATTGGCTGCACTAACATTGACATTGACATCCAGTCTATTGTACGCCAGCAAGAGAAACCACAAGTATCTCATTAACTGTAAACTTCCCTCTGTAGGTGATATAAAGCAGCAGCCTATGGTGAAAAGTATGCTTCACTTAATACTTTCTTTAATTTTGTGCCATCAGTAAATGTTTTTTGAGAGCCCACAATGTTTACACTGGAATAATAAAAAAATAATTGAAAAAAAGTTTGTTAAGTTCATTAATGAATAGAAGCAGAAAAATAATTAAGTATGGAAATGCAGGTTGGTTCACTAAACATTTCAGAGTCTGTAATAAAGACATACATATGTTTTGTTCTTCTAAAATGGTAGTTTTTTTTTATTTTCCAATATCCCATTTATTTATTTTTTACTTAATAGGCTACTTTTCAGTTTTGTGCAATCATTGTGTGTTTTTTGAGAGCCCAACATGTTTTCACTGGAATAATATTAAAAACACAGTAATGCCACAGCAATGTGTCTTTGTTTATGTTAAAAGTTCATTCATTAAAAGAAGCTGAGGAAATAATTGAATATGGATATGCAGGTTGATTTACTAGCAGAGTCTGTAATAAAGACACACCTACATATGTTTTCTTCTAAAATGGTACCTCTAATTCTCCAAAATCCCATTGGTGGAAGTGCACATCACATTTGGCCCTCGGGTAGTGATAATAAAATATTTGTGGCCCTCACTATCATCAAAGTTGCCCATCCCTGCTCTAGACCCTTCCAGAGCTGAGATATTGAGATATTTATAATGGCGTAAATGCTACGTGGGATCTCAATATCTCAGCTCTGGAAGGGTCTAGAGACTCCATTTTTGCACTCAGGTCTAAGTCCCATGGCCCTCTATCAGAATCCAGAGTTTCAAAAAGATTGGAGAAACTTATTTTTTCGCGCCAAAAAAAAAAAACGACAGGGGTAAGACACTGTCGTTTTTTTTTTAGGTCGAAATTTTGAGTTTCTCTGATCTTCTTGAAACTCGGGATTCTGATAGAGGGCCATGAGACTTAGACCTGAGTGCAAAAATGGAGTCTCTAGACCCTTCTAGAGCTGAGATATTGAGATCCCACGTAGCATTTATGCCATTATAAATATCTCGTGAATGCGTGAATGTTTATATAGTTGTTAAGGACCAGGACACTACATTTGGCTTTAAAAAGATTTTGTTAGAAATGTTCAGGAAATAAATCTGGTGTCCTCCACGGCTCACAGCAGCGCCATCTTTGATCGTGAGAGACGCTGTGAGGGATAGACATGCATCTCTTCAGTGGGGTATACTGCTATTTAATGTGCTTTTGGATTGTTCTGCTGACAAAACAATAATGTAAAAAATATCTTTACAAGAAATTTCAGTAGACAAAACAAAAATAAACTCCAGACAACATGAGCTGTGGAAAATCATCCCTGATGGAGGAGCATCACACCGCTTCACACAGTAAGTGTATCACTCAGTGTGGCGCTGCTCTGGATAAGGTCTACTGTCTCAGACAAACACGACGAGCTCACATCACGACCTCAGGACGGAACCAGCTCGAGCTCCTTCCACACACACATGTGAAAATATCTTATTCATATGGACTATTTTAGTTCTCATGTGTGAGTTTATATACCTCTAAATGAACAGCAGTCTGAACAGAAGTAGGCTGTTTAGTTTCGTGTCCTCTGTCTCACATCGGCGTTTCCAGCAGGAACATTCTCCCATAAATGTATTAAGATTTCTGAGTGCCTCATTTGTGGTAGTACAGTACATTACTGTCATCATATTCTTAAAAAAACATTATTACAAGAAAATAAAAAGATTTTTCACCAATCTGGCTTTTAGGATGTATTTGAAGACCTGCAGATGTTTGAGGAAAGGGAATCTGCAGAATCATGTTTTAAACAAGAGCTCCAGATATAACTCAAGCTGCAATAAACTTCAAATATACTGCTTTCATATTTATTACTGATCTTGATTAGTATGTCCGTGGAGTATATTAATAGTCATTCAGTTTTAATTTCCGAGAAGTTCTTTGGAGAAATGAAGGTAAAAGACACTGTGTGTGTGTGAGAGAGAGAGAGTGTGTGTGTGTGTGTGTGTGTGTGTGTGTGTGTGTGATTATAAGGGCGTAAAGCCAAGCAGAATGCTGATAAAACACATGATGGCACGTGGACACATTTGTGTTTTTTATTGAAAGCAGCTTTCAGTGACACACATGCGAGATCACGGTACAGAAGCAACATGGCGGCTGGATCTGTATATTTCTACAGGTGAAACACACGTTCATATTTACAGATCACAGTGACCAATGAGACACAGGTGAGACTAGAAAACACACGTGATCCATTATTGTGCCAAACACGGTAATATTGCTAGAGGTCGGATGAAGGAATGAAGTGTGGGTGATTTACACACATGAGCGACGGCAGACGGTGAGAATGAGATGGAAAAGGCCACACTACTGAGGAATCAGAAATCAATACAGCGTAGAAAACTCTGACGGCCGGCAGTATCTACAAATGCAGAATAAATAAATATATTCCGATTCATCTGTCTGCAACAGGGCGTTTAAATGACCATCTTCAAAAAAATTAAATATAAACAGTAGGAAAGTTTTTATTATTATTATTATTATTAATATTAACATTATTTTGCAGAAACTCAAGTTCTATGTAACACTGCCCATTTCACCATGGTAACAACACAACAAAAATACTGCTGTTTATCAAAACTGTACAAGTAAAACTTACAATTGCTCTAAAATAGTTAGCGTGAGAAGACGACAGTGAAAAAGACGCTTGTTGGTTAAGAGACTCTATCGTGTGGCCCGATGGATCCACCACGGGATCAACAGAACGCTAGCGGGCCGAGGCGCAACCGCTCTTCTGTTCCGTTGATGATGAAAGCATCATGTGACTCCAGCATCATGTGACCTCAGCGGTGGCGGTAATGGCGCATCAGAGGAACGATGCAGGCCGGCGGCCCGGACAGCTTCAGGAAGGGGTTCTGCAGGAGCTCGAGCGCTGATGCGCGCTGGGACGGCTCACGCACTAGCATCAGGTCCAGGAAGGCTCGCAGGACCGACGACACCTGAACCGAAACACACACCACAGAAGATGTTCAACACACACCTGACGTTACTTGATATAAAGTCACAATTGCGAGATATAAAGTCAGAATTGTGAGATATATAGTCCGAATTTTTCACCCACTATTTCTATAATGGCATAAATGCTTCATGGGATCTCAATATCTCAGCTCTGGAAGGGTCTAGAGCCTCCATTTTTGCACTCAGGTCTAAGTCCCATGGACCTCTATCAGAATCCAGAGTTTCAAGAAGATCAGAGAAACTTATTTTTTCACGCCAAAAAAAAAACGACAGGGGTAACACTGTCGTTTTTTTTTTTAGGTCGAAATTTTGAGTTTCTCTGATCTTCTTGTTACTCTGGACTCTTATAGAGGGCCATGAGACTTAGACCTGAGTGCAAAAATGGAGGCTCTAGAGTCTAGACCCTTCCAGAGCTGAGATATTGAGATCCCACGTAGCATTTACGCCATTATAAATATCTCAATATCTCAGCTCTGGAAGGGTCTAGAGCCTCCATTTTTGCAACGTCTAAGTCCCATGGCCCTCTATCAGAATCCAGAGTTTCAAGAAGATTGGAGAAACAATTCTTTTTGCGTCAAAAAAAACGACAGCGGTACCACTGTCGTTTTTTTCGGGTCGAAATTTTGAGTTGCTCATCAGGATGTTTTCGCTCACATGTGTTACGTTTCCCCTTTTCAAGGTTAGTCTCGGGATTGAGGGGAACGTAACTGTAAATTTGATTTATTCTGAAAAGAAATTGTAACAGTAGCACAAAAAGGCTTCAGGAGGGGAACGGCTAAACCAACAAACCAAATGGAGTTTACCTAAGTTTTAGATCTATCTTACCTGTCACAAAGGAAAAGAAAATACAAAAAACCAATATGACTTCCTTGACTCCCGAACTTGACCAAAACCAGGAGAAAATTTAAAAAAAAACAGAAAAGGGCACCCTCCTTTATAAGTGCAACTAATCACCTTATGGGACTCTTTGAGTCGAGGCGGCAGGTTGTCCCGTATGCGTCTCATGGCCTGAAGAGGAGGCTCGTTGAAGTACGGAGGTTCTCCATCCACCATCTCAATCACCATGATGCCCAGAGACCAGATGTCCACCTACACACACATACACACACACGGGACAGCAGTGCCACCAAGTTAAGTCAAGTAAGTTTTTATTGTCATGTGTACAAGTTACCAAGTACAGTGAAAAACTTCACAGACTATAGACAGACCAAATACAATAAACCTCATTGCTATATAAACAAAAGAAATATACATACCCAGCAAACAATTTTGCATTTAAAAGACGTCTAATACACCTAACGACACTGATATCTTGTAGATATTATTGACATTGGCCAACCATCTCATGCGCTGCCTTGACAAAAACTACAATGAACCAGTTTTGACTATAAGTGGGCTACAAATAGCATAGAACATGTCAAAGAAATGAAAGCAAACACCTTGCAATAACTGTTGACTTTGCTATGATGTTATATCATAAATCTTGCAAGTTATTTTGGCAAAAAAACCAAATTGAAGGTTATTTTGGCTAGAAGTGTGCAACTCACCGGGTCTATAGTTAACCTACTCATTGCTGGACTATATCTTCATATAACTCATGAATGTGTACCTCAGTGCCGTAGGGTAATCGGGAGATGACCTCTGGAGCCATCCAGTACGGCGTTCCCACCAGAGACTTTCTCTTGGGAACCTCCTTAGACACTTGAGCACAGAAGCCGAAATCCGAGAGCTTGATCTGCGAGGGACGTATAGGACAATGCAAAGCTGATTAACCACTTATCACCCCTTCATTTGTCATGTTCTCTCAGCTAATTACAAGGTGGGAGACACGATTTAATTACTTGGGACTAGTGAAGTTGCTAATTATCCCTGATCACTTTTCTGTCCTCACGTTTATGTATGCAACTCTACAAACAGTCACATGTGGAGGAAGATGATTCAGTACTTCACACGACTGCATGTCATGGGTTATATGAAGGGTTTGAAATGAACACCCGCAAAAATTGGGGTAAAAATCATCTCAAGTCAAGTATATTTATATAGCGCTTTTCACAATATAGATTGCATCAAAGCAGCTTCACAGTATCAATCAAATCCACATTTGGTGATCAAGGGTATTACTGATTGATAATTCATTTCAATATCCCCAACTGAGCAAGCCAGTTGGCGATATTCAAATTAAATCAAATCTGTGGCGATTAACGCTGTCAAATCACTAGCCAATTTGGCGTTACTTGTTATGTTTACTCATTTTGCTGGGGAAGTTCGTGTAGCCAAATCTGCGCAGATTTAGCGCAAATACTCATGAGTCATCGTGATATGTAAAATATAGCATATTGTGCAGAATCTGCTCATATCTGGCTTACTTGAACACACTCGTCACTACACTACAAATAATGGTGCGCTATTTCGACGAGATTAAAGATTAAAAAGCATTCGGTTAACAGATAAAAGACATTTTTATGTTCTTTAGTTTGAATAAGAAACTAATGTATAAAATCATAATTTTATTTTATATAAATATATAAATATATATTTGGCTAGTAGAAGTTTTGAATCGCCGGTAACTTAAAACTTTAGTAGCCAAATTGGTCGGTGAAAGAAAAGTTCATTTTAAACCCTGGTTATATGTTCTTATATTATTCTACTCACGCGTCCGTCACTGGTGAGCAGGATGGAGTCGCTCTTGATGTCTCGGTGGATGACACCCTGTGTGTGGAGGTACGACAGCGCCTTCAACACCGACAGGCAGACGGTGGCAATCTGCTCCTCGTTCATCCTGTGAACCAAACACAGAACATCGGATCAGAACAACTCCTCAAAACATCTCCTGAACATCTCCTGAACATCAGAACATCTCTTAAACATCAGAACATCACATTAACATCTCCTGAACATCTGACCAGAACAACTCCTCAGAACATCTCCTGAACATCAGAACATCATATTAACATCTCCTAAACATCTCCTGGAAATCTCCTGAACATCTAATCAGAACATCTCCTAAACATCAAATCAGAACATCTCCTGAACATCTCAACATCTCCTGAACATCACCTTAACATCTCCTGAACATCACCTTAACATCTCCTGAACATCTCCAGAACATCACCTTAACATCTCCTGAACATCTCCTGAACATCAGAACATCTCTTAAACATCAGAACATCACATTAACATCTCCTGAACATCTGATCAGAACAACTCCTCAGAACATCTCCTGAACATCAGAACATCATATTAACATCTCCTAAACATCTCCTGAACATCAGAATATCATATTAACATCTCCTGAAAATCACCAGAACATCTCCTGAACATCAGAACATCATATTAACATCTCCTGAACATCTCCTGGACATCTCCTGAACATCTAATCAGAACATCTAATCAGAACATCTCCTGAACATCTCCTGAACATCACCTTAACATCTCCTGAACATCTAATCAGAACATCTCCTGAACATCTCCTGAACATCAATCAGAACATCTCCTGAACATCTCCTGAACATCAGAACATCATATTAACATTTCCTGAATATCTCCTGGACATCTCCTGAACATCTAATCAGAACATCTCCTGAGTATCACCTTAACATCTCCTGAACATCTAATCAGAACATCTCCTGAACATCATCTGATCAGAACAACTCCTCAGAACATCTCCTGAACATCAGAACATCATATTAACATCTCCTGAACATCCAAACATCATATTAACATCTCCTGAACATCTCCTGAACATCAGAACATCATATTAACATTTCCTGAACATCTCCTGAACATTGGAACATCATTTTAACATCAGAACATCTCCTGAACATCAGAACATCTCCTGAACATCTCCTGGACATCTCCTGGACATCTCCTGAACATCTCCTGGACATCTCTTGAACATCTTCTGGACATCTCCTGAACATCTCCTGAACATCTCCTGAACATCTCCTGAACATCTCCTGAACATCTCCTGGACGTCTCCTGAACATCTCCTGGACATCTCCTGAACATCTCCTGGACATCTCTGAACATCTCCTGAACATCTCCTGACATTTCCTGGCATCTCCTGAACATCTCCTGAACATCTCCTGACATCTCCTGAACATCTCCTGAACATTTCCTGGGCATCTCCTGAACATCTCCTGGACATCTCCTGGACATCTCCTGAACATCTCCTGACATCCCCTGGACATCTCCTGAACATCTCCTGAACATCTCCTGGACATCTCCTGAACATCTCCTGGACATCTCCTGAACATCTCCTGGACATTTCCTGGGCATCTCCTGAACATCTCCTGACATCTCCTGAACATCTCCTGAACATCTCCTGGACATCTCCTGGACATCTCCTGAACATCTCCTGGACATCTCCTGAACATCTCCTGGACATCTCCTGAACATCTCCTGGACATCTCCTGAACATCTCCTGAACATCTCCTGGACATCTCCTGAACATCTCCTGAACATCTCCTGAACATCTCCTGGACATCTCCTGAACATCTCCTGGACATCTCCTGAACATCTCCTGGACATCTCCTGAACATCTCCTGGACATCTCCTGGACATCTCCTGGGCATCTCCTGAACATCTCCTGGACATCTCCTGGACATCTCCTGAACATCTCCTGAACATCTCCTGGACATCTCCTGGACATCTCCTGAACATCTCCTGAGCATCTCCTGAACATCTCCTGGACATCTCCTGGACATCTCCTGAACATCTCCTGGACATCTCCTGAACATCTCCTGGACATCTCCTGAACATCTCCTGGACATCTCCTGAACATTTCCTGGCATCTCCTGGACATCTCCTGGACATCTCCTGGACATTTCCTGGGCATCTCCTGAACATCTCCTGGACATCTCCTGGACATCTCCTGAACATCTCCTGGACATCTCCTGGACATCTCCTGAACATCTCCTGAGCATCTCCTGAACATCTCCTGGACATCTCCTGAACATCTCCTGGGCATCTCCTGGACATCTCCTGAACATCTCCTGAACATCTCCTGGGCATCTCCTGAACATCTCCTGAACATCTCCTGGGCATCTCCTGAACATCTCCTGAACATCTCCTGAACATCACCTTAACATCAACATCTAATCAGAACATCTCCTGAACATCAGAACATTATATTAACATCAGAACATCTCCTGAACATCAGAACATCTCCTGAACATCTCCTGAACATCGGCTGGACATCTCCTGAACATCACGTTAATATCAACATCTAATCAGACCATCTCCTGAATATCTCCTGAACATCTAATCAGAACATCTCCTGAAGATCTCCTGAATATCTCAGATTCATCTTTTCTCAGTTTGTAGAAGTAAATCAGTGTAATTTCAGTACGGCTAAACAAGAAGCATTTATTATCCCAGATTCAGGTTTAGCAGCGGCACTGAGTAACTAACCTGATCTCTCTCTCACACACACACACACACACACACACACAGAGCGGTTTGAGTTTGTTTTGATGATCAGAGCATGACACGCCTCATAAGCTCAGCTGTGATTGGATGATCATGTTTAGCTCCAGGCCTTCAGTGTGTTTGACAGAAACAGTGTCACGTGAGTGACTGAACAACAGTGGCCTTACCAGGGTGAAAAGGATCCAACAGTAGCTTATTTTTCTACATATTCCTTCTTATAATTTCCGTCTCATTACTAATGCATTAACTAACATTAACCTACAATCAGCAACACATTTGTTAGAGTATTCATGAGTCACTAAAATTAGTTAAATAATTGTATTTAAAAAATCAGCTATTCATTATTTTTTTGTGTGGTGCTCTCGTGTTCAAATTATAATTCTAAATCATTTCATTTTAATGTACTGGTAAATTTAGAAATTAACATAAATTAAGAAATAATATTATAATATGGTGTAATATTGTGTGATATCATTTAAATGATTCAATTTAATTTAAAATACATAATGTTTGCATTTATCATGTGCTTCAATCCAAAGTCATTTAAAAAAGATCAAGATTTATTCATGTTTGGTTAAATTAGTTGGAATTTTATAAAATTATTTAACTCTTTGTTGTTAGTTAATATTAGCTCAAATCCATGAAATAATATTAACAGACACAACATTTGATTTTAAAAAAGTATGAGTAAATGTTAAGATTAATATTTGCTAAGATTAATAGATCATTAATGTTAACTAATGCAGTTATCTAATGTTAACTATCTTGTTTTACTCTTTTTAGCTACTATTTATTTATTTATTTTGTTAGTTAGGTTTAGTTTTATTCTGAATATCAGTGTGTATAAATCATGCGTGTGGTTTTGTAGACAGAAGCGTCCTTCATGCAGCCCCGTCAGAGTAATTACAAACACTCCCGTTTGTGCATTAGTGTTGAGAATAAGTGTGTTCAGTGTTGAGGAGTGTGTGTGTGTGTGTGTGTGTGTGTGTGCATGTGTTCAGCCCCAGGCGAGACAGATGAGCAGTGTGTGTGTGTGAGCATGCGACAGCTGGGCCTCGTTCATGCTCCGCAGACGCCAGAGTCCCATTCGCACAGCAGACTTTGCTCTGTTCCGAGTGTGTGTGTGTGTGTGAGTACATGTGAGTGTGTGGGTTTAAGGTCTAACACATAGATATATATATATATAAATATATAAATATATATGCACTGTATGTATGTATATACAGTATGTATATATATATATATGTGTGTGTGTGTGTGTGTGCATACAAATATACACACACACACGTACATATTTATAAAGGGATACACATGTATATCAGTATATGCAAACATTTCTGTGTGTTAAAGCTTATCTTAGCATCCCACTGTGAGTGTCACGTGATGTGTGTGTTGATCTGTGTGTCGATCAGTCTCAGCACACACTCTCCATTAGCGTCTCCAGCAGGACCAGAATAAAGCGACTCAGACTCGTGGAGAGTGTGTTGGGGATGGAAGCGTTCCTCCTCTGAAAGTGTGCAATTACCGTCCGACTTCGAACTGACGAACAACGCCAATTACTGTAATTATGCTGATGCTTCGTGAAGCACAGGCAGCGCTTAAAACACTAACTTTCACAATCATAAATCATCACTGGACTACAGTCTCCAGCAGAAACATTCATCTCCTGAAACTCAATGATGATGCCTAGTGTGTGTATAATCAGCACATTAAATCCCTCACAGATGAAGCTGCTTTATCTCACTCCATTCTTTCCTTCCTGAATCTGAATCTCGATGAACTCGAAGCAAAAGATCAATGATTCAAATCAATGGGTGTAAAACAGAGGATCTGATTGGACGAATCGCTCCTCTTACCTCGTATGCGTGACGATGTCGGTCAAAGCTCCGCCCTCCAGGAACTCCATCACTACCCAGAGTTCATCGCTGACCAGATAACTGTTGTACATGTCCACCACGTTCTCGTGATGGTAGTCTCTCATGATGACCACCTGCGGTCAGACATCAGACGTGATTACAGCAAAAGCTGATCTTCAGATATGTGCAGAGTGTGTTTCGGAGTGTGTTTCGGAGTGTGTTTCGGAGTGTGTTTCGGAGTGTGTTTCAGAGTGTGTTTCAGAGTGTGTTTCGGAGTGTGTTTCAGAGTGTGTTTCAGAGTGTGTTTCGGAGTGTGTTTCGGAGTGTGTTTCGGAGTGTGTTTCAGAGTGTGTTTCGGAGTGTGTTTCGGAGTGTGTTTCGGAGTGTGTTTTCTGAGTGTGTTTCGGAGTGTGTTTCGGAGTGTGTTTCGGAGTGTGTTTCAGAGTGTGTTTCGGAGTGTGTTTCGGAGTGAGTTTCAGAGTGTGTTTTGGAGTGTGTTTCGGAGTGTGTTTCAGAGTGTGTTTCGGAGTGTGTTTCAGAGTGTGTTTCAGAGTGTGTTTCGGAGTGTGTTTCGGAGTGAGTTTCAGAGTGTGTTTCAGAGTGTGTTTCGGAGTGTGTTTCGGAGTGTGTTTCGGAGTGTGTTTCGGAGTGTGTTTCAGAGTGTGTTTCGGAGTGTGTTTCAGAGTGTGTTTCAGAGTGTGTTTCGGAGTGTGTTTCGGAGTGTGTTTTGGAGTGTTTTTCAGAGTGTGTTTCGGAGTGTGTTTCGGCGTGTGTTTTGGAGTGTTTTTCAGAGTGTGTTTCAGAGTGTGTTTCAGAGTGTGTTTCGGAGTGTGTTTCGGAGTGTGTTTCGGAGTGTGTTTCAGAGTGTGTTTCGGAGTGTGTTTCGGAGTGTGTTTCGGAGTGTGTTTCTGAGTGTGTTTCGGAGTGTGTTTCGGAGTGTGTTTCGGAGTGTGTTTCAGAGTGTGTTTCGGAGTGTGTTTCGGAGTGAGTTTCAGAGTGTGTTTCGGAGTGTGTTTCGGAGTGTGTTTCGGAGTGTGTTTCAGAGTGTGTTTCGGAGTGTGTTTCGGAGTGTGTTTCAGAGTGTGTTTCGGAGTGTGTTTCGGAGTGAGTTTCAGAGTGTGTTTCAGAGTGTGTTTCGGAGTGTGTTTCGGAGTGTGTTTCGGAGTGTGTTTCGGAGTGTGTTTCAGAGTGTGTTTCGGAGTGTGTTTCAGAGTGTGTTTCAGAGTGTGTTTCGGAGTGTGTTTCGGAGTGTGTTTTGGAGTGTTTTTCAGAGTGTGTTTCGGAGTGTGTTTCGGCGTGTGTTTTGGAGTGTTTTTCAGAGTGTGTTTCAGAGTGTGTTTCAGAGTGTGTTTCGGAGTGTGTTTCGGAGTGTGTTTCGGAGTGTGTTTCAGAGTGTGTTTCGGAGTGTGTTTCGGAGTGAGTTTCAGAGTGTGTTTCAGAGTGTGTTTCGGAGTGTGTTTCGGAGTGTGTTTCGGAGTGTGTTTCGGAGTGTGTTTCAGAGTGTGTTTCGGAGTGTGTTTCAGAGTGTGTTTCAGAGTGTGTTTCGGAGTGTGTTTCGGAGTGTGTTTTGGAGTGTTTTTCAGAGTGTGTTTCGGAGTGTGTTTCGGCGTGTGTTTTGGAGTGTTTTTCAGAGTGTGTTTCAGAGTGTGTTTCAGAGTGTGTTTCGGAGTGTGTTTCGGAGTGTGTTTCGGAGTGTGTTTCAGAGTGTGTTTCGGAGTGTGTTTCGGAGTGTGTTTCGGAGTGTGTTTCTGAGTGTGTTTCGGAGTGTGTTTCGGAGTGTGTTTCGGAGTGTGTTTCAGAGTGTGTTTCGGAGTGTGTTTCGGAGTGAGTTTCAGAGTGTGTTTTGGAGTGTGTTTCGGAGTGTGTTTCAGAGTGTGTTTCGGAGTGTGTTTCAGAGTGTGTTTCGGAGTGTGTTTCGGAGTGTGTTTCAGAGTGTGTTTCGGAGTGTGTTTCGGAGTGTGTTTCAGAGTGTGTTTCGGAGTGTGTTTCAGAGTGTGTTTCGGAGTGTGTTTCAGAGTGTGTTTCAGAGTGTGTTTCGGAGTGTGTTTCGGCGTGTGTTTTGGAGTGTTTTTCAGAGTGTGTTTCAGAGTGTGTTTCAGAGTGTGTTTCAGAGTGTGTTTCGGAGTGTGTTTCAGAGTGTGTTTCAGAGTGTGTTTCGGAGTGTGTTTCAGAGTGTGTTTCGAAGTGTGTTTCAGAGTGTGTTTCAGAGTGTGTTTCAGAGTGTGTTTCAGAGTGTGTTTCAGAGTGTGTTTCGAAGTGTGTTTCGGAGTGTGTTTCGGAGTGTGTTTCAGAGTGTGTTTCGGAGTGTGTTTCAGAGTGTGTTTCAGAGTGTGTTTCAGAGTGTGTTTCGGAGTGTGTTTCGGAGTGTGTTTCGGAGTGTGTTTCAGAGTGTGTTTCAGAGTGTGTTTCGGAGTGTGTTTCAGAGTGTGTTTCAGAGTGTGTTTCAGAGTGTGTTTCAGAGTGTGTTTCGAAGTGTGTTTCGGAGTGTGTTTCAGAGTGTGTTTCGGAGTGTGTTTCAGAGTGTGTTTCGGAGTGTGTTTCAGAGTGTGTTTCGGAGTGTGTTTCAGAGTGTGTTTCGAAGTGTGTTTCGGAGTGTGTTTCAGAGTGTGTTTTGGCAGTGTGTTCATTCACAAGCCAGCAGCCCGTGACCCATCCGTGTTGATTTGCAAACCACAACCAATCAAATCAAATCAAAGTGCACTGTAATATATATATATATATAAATCAGAAAACCTTTGGCCAAATTGAGCAGCACTACGAACGAGCAGGGGTTTTTCCATAATTGCAAATAAAGGTTTGTGCTCACCTCATTGAACAGGAGCTCTCGTCGCTGCTGTTTCCTCAGGTCCATCTTCTTCACGGCCACCTGCTTCCCGCTGTGCTTCTCCGTGGCAATGCACACGATCCCTGTGGATCCCTCTCCGATCTTCAGGAAGTTGTCGAGATACTCGCGCGGGTCTCCGGGGTTCACCACCAGCTGGAGCGCGGCCCGGAACTGTTCGTGGGACACCCTGGAGGGGGGCGTCTCGGAGCTGGAGCCCCAGCTGGGAGGAGGGTAGGCTCCAGGAGGGGTGTAGGGCGAGGAGGGCTGGGAGAGCGAGAGCGCCCCCTGGGGGGTGTAGGGAGGACTGGGCTGGGAGAGCGAGAGCGCCCCCTGGGGGGTGTAGGGAGGACTGGGCTGGGACGGCGGGTGCTGGTATGGAGACGGCTTGTAGTGGAAGGGCGGCGGGTACTGGAAACCGGCCGGGTACGAGGGCTTGCCGTGGCTCTGAGGTAGTTTGAAGGGAACACGTGGATACGACTCGCCCAACGGCACCTGCGGACTCCCGTCCCGAGCGACTCGCTCGTAGTCGCCCTGTTCGATTCAAACAACACACGTTAGCAGTGAACAATACAAACTCATAGATAGGATTGGGATCGAATCCTTGTTGTAAAATTTGAATTTGGATTCCTCTGTGAACATTTCAATATGACTTTAAACCATTCAAGCGCGAGAAGCTCTTTTTTAATGTTTTCGTTTGCATCAGTTCATATTGGACCTGTGCGGTTCTTAAAGTGACAGCACTAATATTCCTGCCGTCTCGATAATAACACTAATCACACAACAGAAGACTAAGGGAGAATTAATATGTTTTTGAATAACTTTTCTAACAATATTTGTAATGTATTTTATTTAAAGTTTCTTGTGTAAGTGTTCTCTAAACTGTCGATTTGTGTTCATGATATTCAGCTACAATTGAATGTTTAACAATGAGTCTAAATGTGAATGATATCTTTTTTTTTTTACTTTATCGGAATCAAATTTAGGAATCGATAAGCAGAATTGAAATCGGAATCGTCAACATTGAAACGATACCCAGCCCTACTCATAGAGGAGAAGAACGAGCTCGTGACTCAGGCTGGACCGGCTCATTCATCACAGGGATGCTGTCTACTGAGGGAACACCTCTCAAACTGGAGCTCAATGTCACAGCGGGACGACATCTTAAATCACACTTAACCTGGATTCAGAAATCATGGAGTCATGTACAAACCCGCCGAATCTGATCATTCAAGAAACCTTTCATTTTTTTGTGGAATCCATGATACACAACCATGCATATAATTTGGGGTAATTTTTAATAATCAAGGAATTGATTTTAAAGCCATTTATAATGTAACAAAAGATTCTATTTCAGATAAATGTTGTTCTTTTGAACTTTCTATTCATCAAAGAAAAATCTAATGTGTCACAGACTGTTTTCAACTCTGATAATAATCATAAATGTTTGCTGATCATCAGCTCCTCATATTATAGATCATGTGACACTGAAGACTGGAGTAATGATGCTGAAAATTACAGGAATAAATTATAATTTACTATATTTTCACATAGAAAACAGATGATTTACATTAGAATATATTTTACTGTTTTTACTGTATTTTTTTAATCAAATAAATGCAGTTTTGTGGAGTAGAAGAAACTCAAAAAACATTAAACAATCTTAATTATTCCAGACTTGTTGACTATACATATATGGAACTGAGTCAAAGAGACCTTTTCAGCACGAATAAAAAATTTTTTTAAACCGCGACCGCCTCATGTGATTGTAATAAAGCAGAGATCCTCACGCGCTCTCGTCCTCCACGTCACACGATCTGCAGGGTCACGGTGGGCGGCAGATTGAATTATTCCCACCCCGCCCAGAACACAAAAAGATGACACGACACGGATCGTCTTCTAACCGCCTCGTGATGAGGAAGCCGGCGCCGTGTAATTACGTCGCTGGACTAGTTTAATCAATCATCCCGGCGAGGGTGTTTATGGGCCGGAGAAGTCCCGAGACCCCCTTTCCCAACCGGCACCGCTGGCTGATCCATGTTCGTTAAATGCACATTAATCTGAATTTGGCAGCGTAATCAAGAACCCAACTGGAGTGTGAAATTGAATTCTGTGGTGGAGCAGCGCACCACGGCGTTTATGCAAGGCCTGCAGAAAAGGAAGGTGCCACAACATCAGTTCATCACAGTGAGTGTGTGCGTGCCCGAGTCCCCGAGCTGTCGGCCTCTAACGGCCCGCCGTCCCCGACAGCGCCAGCAAAGCGCTTGGCTCGCTGAAAGTGACCGAGTCGAGGTGAATGAGAAAGAAAGAGGTTCATTATGACGTCGGTGAGCCGAGACCGATGGGAATGTGCTGAACGCCCCGAAACACGTCGTACGGCAAATCACACACTCGATACAGGACACGTACAGTAAAACGTCCCTGAATCGCTCTCTAATGCGACCCTGTGTGTAAATGAACAATATCTGACCCCGAAAATCAACAGAAATGAAGCCTGATTGAGGAACTTTTGTTGACAATAAGGCACAAAAATGACAATAATTGATTAACATTATGAAATATATATAAACTGAATTTAAGCTTTTTAAATTAAATTACTGTTCATGACAGTTAGTGTCATCAAAGTTCATGAAACATGCATCATTTTCTTATTCATTATGTTAAGTGGCTTCATTAGTCGAGGACACTTAATATTCAGCAGCGTTACTGATCTGACGAACTGAGCTGATGATGACATCTCTGTTTTCTACAGAACTGCTGTACAGATGAAATTAACTAAAGTAATAATTAATAATCTTTCCATCGGAACTGAGATCAGCTGAACAGCACCCTGTGACACTGAATCTGCATTGTAGAGCTTTAGAAATAAAGATGGCTTGATTTGACATGATATGATACGGACATCTGTGATTCAGACTTAATAAAAAACAATATGTAATTTTGTTTTGTTAACAAATCTTGCAAATTCTGCCATTTAAGTTGCAATAGGAATTATCGAGAAAGCGGCTAGTGCACTTCTTTGGCAATATGAGTGAATTAAAAGGAGACACATGAAGGTCCGGGGTGAGCCGCCGCCGTTATCGGGAGATTGCTACCGTTCCATTAATTGATTCCTGCGCCGCTGTCGTGAGTGATTCCATGTCTCCGCCGGCCGCGCTCTCTTCACGGGAGAGTAGATTAAGAACTGACACGAGATCCATCACCGCGCCGCGATGCGACCTGGGAGATAACACACAGCCCGCGGGTGAGAGTCTGCAGGACGTCCAACCTTTAATTCTACACCGCGCTGGGAAGCTGCCATTGGGAACAATGCGGCATTTATACGGGAAGCACGTGAACTGAGCACTGACGCAGTGTAAAAGCATCTGCAGAATAAATGCATGTGCTCCTCAATGATTATTGGGCAAATGTGCTGCCACGATATGTTGCATTATTCTCCTGTTATCTCTGTAAAGCTGCTTTGAAACAATATTCATTGTAAAAAAGAGCTATATAAATAAAGGTGACTTTTAATCCAAAATCAGCCCAGAAACGATCTCTGAGGAGACAAGCCACATTTGACTAAAGGTTTTGTTTTAAAATGTCATGTAATATTGAGATATGAGATGTATGAGATGAGAAGTGCATAATGAGCAAAATCTGAACGCGTCTCATATTTGAGGAAATATTGCATCTTCCTGTTTATTACAGTGAAGCTGCTTTGAAAGTCGAGTCTCCTTCATCTATACAGCACTTTAACAATAGGCAAGAGTTTCACAGCAGCGTTACAGTGCTAACACGAGATTACAGTCACAGAGAGAGTTTCGGCTTTACAGCAGATCTAGAATAAAGTTATCGTCCAGATAAAGTTAGTTTAGATTGATTCACTTCCGTTCACTAAAGATCATTAGTGATTAACTCAGCGCCCGCTAACACGACACCACTAACACGACGCCGCTAACACGACGGCGCTCACACGACGCTGCTAACACGATGCCGCTAACACGACGACCGCTAACACGACGCCGCTAACACGACGCCGCTAACACGACGCCGCTAACACGACGCCGCTAACACGACGCCGCTAACACGACACCGCTAACACGACGCCGCTAACATGACGCCGCTAACACGACGCCGCTAACATGACGCCGCTAACATGACGCCGCTAACACGACACCGCTAACACGACACCGCTAACAGAACACAGAAACTGTAATGTGTTCATCCACACACAGCGTTTGGGGCTCAAGAGCGTAAACTGTGAAACGGATCCAAGGTGCAAGTTTTAAATTTACAGAAAAAACGGGTTTTGCATCGAGAACACAAACTTGCACACTATATGCATACGCGGAAATAAAGATTTGTGTCATTTTGATGCCCCTGAGAGGAAAAACGTGTCATCGTTAGCATCTGTTCATCGGGACGCCGAGCTCCTCTTTACCTTGCTTATGACGATCGCAGACGTGTTCTCCGACAGTCTCGGGTACGTGTACGAGCTGTACGACCCCTGCGGCGCCGCTTTGAACGCGCTGATCCCGTACGGCACGCTTGGCTCCTGCAGACCAGAACCGGACCGGGAGCGCTGCCGGATCGCCGGCTGAGGGCTCGTCTGGCTGATGTACGAGGACTTGGGCCTCTTGTCGTAGTCCTCTCTCAGTCCCGCTCCGTATCCCCAGTCTCCGTCTGGGTAGGTCATCTGCTCGCTGTGGATGGAGACCCGAGACGGGGTTCCCAGCGGCTGTTCCCGGTAGTCCTGACTGGATCCGCCCAGAGAGGCCCGGTAGTATTCCCTCCGGCCGCCCATGGCCATCTCGTCGTTGGACAGACGCATCTTGCTCTCCAGGTAGGCGTGGTAGTCCGGAGGCATCTTGGCATAGTCTGAAGACTTCTGCGGCATAGCGTCGGGGTAGAAGGGACTCCGGATGGGGTGGCCGTTCTGTTTGAGGGAGAAGCGGTAGTGCCGTCCGACCGGCCACTCCCCGTCATGGAGCCGGTACGGGTCAAGCGAGAAGTCCTTACTGCTATCCAGATCGCAGGAGAAACGGCCATAATAGTGTCCGAAGCCGTTCTCCTCGGGGCCGCCGGTGTTGGACGTGGACGCAGACGCTGGTTTGCTTCCGCCGGCCTGATGCGGTCCAGGGGGACTCTCTTTCCTCAGGGAGTTGGAGCGGGTCACGGAGATGCTGTCGAACTCCTCCAACAGGCCGTTAATGGAGGCGTCCTTGGGCGGTCGGCTCCCGCGGACGATGGTCTGCAAAGAGAAGGCAGGAGAGTCAGTGAGAGACTCGAAGGTCCAGGCCTGAGCATTTCACCACATCGTGCTATATTTTGACAGAGTCAAACAGCAGTGGGAGTGCGATCAGAAGACGTTTGGCAGCCGTTCTCTCACGAGCACAGCCTGAATAAATCACAGCATTGCTCATCTCATCCCACTGCCACTTAAGCGTTGCATGGCACAGCTGTGTTGTGACTCACTGCGGAATACAACTCTGAAACAGACCCAAAATATATGAGTGGCATAAGCTGAAAGGCCTAACGGAAGGATTTTCCCAACTTCCCCTCTCGATAGTCATCCAAACCAAATTAAGAAAAACAGACATTAGATCAATCTTTTCATCGTTTCTATACAGTACAACACAGGTGAAACCAATCCCACAGATGCAGATCACACTCTTTCACACCGCAGCGACTGCAAAGCAACACACTCGAGATACTCTGAGACCTCATAGCAACAGTGACATGTTAAAACGTGCGTTAAATAGTGAAATATTAACAGAGTCAGACTATATTTCAGTGGTTCCTATAGAGCGCAGAGAGGCGTTTAACTTACACTGCAGTCATACTTTATCATTAAAGGACAACACTTGCCCCATAGATTTATCTTCCAGCGCATTTTTTACCTTTATGAATAACTTTATAAAATAAATAACGTTTTACTTTAAAAAGAAATTTTCAATAGTGAGATATGCAATAATGGTAAAAACGAAGTGATACTTTAAAATATTCACCTAAAACCGCCAGTAGGTGGCGATAAGTGACCGTCTTAACGAGCGAGTCATCAAATCATGAATGACTGACTCATGATTCGTTCAAAGCTGCAGAATTGTTCACGAAACACCGATGTGTGCTGTAGTTCTGCTGTGTCCTTCGTTGAAACTATTCTTTCGAGGCAAAATAGAGTAAATGCTGAAAGTACTGTGTTTAAAATGCATGTTCCGTTTGTTGAACTGTTGTATAATCATCAATCTCACTTTTGCAATCGTGTGGATATTTGGGAACAATTGCATTCTTGCTCGTTATCAACATTAAATACACAGACTGATCTCATGAAGTAGCGTGTGCATGACACGGCAATTCGTATTTCCATTTTTGGCGTGCTATCAAGACGCATAATCGCTTTTCAGCGTGTTTATGAACGCCGTTGACTTAACGTTATAACTGTATATATAAATATATGACTTACCTC